CATGTAAGTCTTTGTGTTTTCTCTGATAACAGACATACTTAAGACTACATTCTGAAACTACATCCTAAAACAGAAAGGTAAGGCATTATAAAATGACACACTCGAGAAGAGTCAGAGTGCATTTGCACTCTCCAAAGTGGCAGCTACTTAATTGAAATGAAGAAGAAAGTTTGTTTAGAGTCCTTAGTCTGCTTTTGATAATGCAAGCTATGGTTATGTAAATCTCCTAGCATTTTGTTCAGATACTTGTCTGAAGCATCAGGTAAATAATTACTAAGTAATTGTACTCTTGCCTGCTATTCTGCAGAAAACGAGATTCTTCTTAAGGCTCAAGTGAGACAGTCATGAATGACAACAGCACTTCATGGTGGAGAATGGTCTTCTTTACAGAAAATCAGAAATACAGAAACATCAACCAGACAGCCAGAACAACAAAGACAGCTGCAACTCAGCTAATGCTTTTTTTACAATATTGATATTACTGAATGCGTGGTTAGAAATGGAGAGATATAAATGAATAGAGAATATACTTTGGTATGTATACACTAAGGTATGATAAGCATGGTAGTTAGAATGAAGAGTTGAGGGGATTAGACACCCATTTGGTTCACACCTATGACCAAGAATTTTTGGTGGTTAAAACATGTAAGAGTAAGCAACAGCAGCTTGTACTGCTCACTACAGTTTAATGTATTTGTTGTGCTTCACCTCCATCCTATCAGTAGTTCAAAGGTGAGTGCAAACAGTCAGACAAGAGAAGACAACTCAGCAACTGTGCTGGAGATAGGCTACCCACTACACAGTGTAACTTAATATATCCTGTCTTTGCCAACTCCATCTTTCCAAACAGTGAAGTGGTGTGAAGTGAAAATTAGGCCTTCATTTGTCAGGAGATTTTCATGTGCTTTTTGGAAGGGTCTTAACTTACAGACTAAGGTGGTTTTTGATCCACATCTTCTTTTACCAAGAAAATAGGAGTGTTTGTTTCTTGTGCATGAATGGATTGATGAAGCTCTCTTCCACCAGGATATTGCAGAGGATACACAAGATTCTCATGAAAGGCTGCTTATATCAGTAGTAAATGTTCTCGTCTTTTTACAATTGTAACATACTGTGTTTGAATTGTTCATTTAACTTGTCCGCCCTGGAGGAGGTGGTCTGTACTGTAAAAGTACTTCTGTATTAATTCACAAGTGGAGAAACTGTCATACAACAAACAGTAATTTACTAATCCCATCCCTTTTAATCTTAAATGCATATAGTTCAAAACTTCTGAACAAGAAGTAGGCTTCAGATCTGCTTCAGCTCTTGCGGCTTCCTGAAGAGCAGCCGGGATAAGCTCTGAGAATACCTTAGAATGGAAAGAATGGAGGAGCTCTGCTTACAAGAAATACTGGAAATATCCTCAGTCAGCTCAGTAGTTGTGGGTATTACAGAATTTTGATGGTCTGTCTGTAATTCTTGATCCAAATGCTGTCAAAACTAGTATTTTAGAGAATGGAGGACATGTGCTTACCTATTTGGGCCTTAAGTTTCGGGTTTTTGAGTCCATATATCATTTTAATTCTCATCTTCCTAAAGAAGAGACATTATGATCATCCTGCAACATACAACCTTTCTTTCTGTAGTATATAGAGTAGACGAGCTAGCAGAATTGCTATGTCCTTTGAAGCCAAGGGCTCCCTATAGGAAGAGGGCAAGAGCTTTAGCTGCCATAACCAGAGCACAGAGAAATTAGATTTTTTTGACATGGACATGATTCTGGTTAAATATTTAGAAACAGAGATGGAGCCAGGACCATTTTCTTCTGCCACTATCTATTTTGGATTGATAAATGACATATTTCTTCTCTCTACATATTTTTTAAAAGATCACTGGAACCTCAGTCTGAAGGATGGATGAATTTGACAATGTACTATCTGTCTTAGGAGAAGAAGTGGTATTTTAAGAGAAATTCCAGAAATTAGCACAACTGGGCTTTGGGGATGTCTTTTTGACTGTCTTTCCAACTGTATCTGATCTCCTAGATTTGGTCTTGCAGGCCTTACCAGTGCTAAAATCGCTTTGGAAATGAGGTTGCCTAGTCATAGAAGAGGCCATGTGATGTAATAGTTCAAATGGTTGCTATTATTTCAGTAGCAACTCATGTTTATTTATCTGAGTGTTAATACTTGGCAACTTCTGATGAAGAAGCATTGTTGCCTAAATCAATGAAGCTAGCCTTTTGTAGGTAGATGTCCCCATCTATCTTTATAAGATATCTTTATTCATCCCCATCTATCTTTATAAGAAATGCTTTAAGGAGTACAGTAATTTCAGCCATTTCATGCCAAGAATACAATCCTATGCAATGTTGCTGACATCACCTCAACATGGATTCGTAAGGGCCAATGTTGCACGCCTAAGAATAAGCAAGCCTCTACCCTCATCATCACTCTCAAATTCCATCACTGTAAATCTTTATTCTTTGTAGAGTAGATTTTTTAGCATTTTTTTGTTCGTGGAGAAAAATGTAGCAACACAACTTTTGTCTTTTGGGGTATAATCTAAACTCAAGATTTTTTTGAGTGAACAGATTTATTTTTTTTTCGAATACAGTGTATTTGTTGTTCTGTTTTCTCTACCTTACCACACCTAAGGAAGTGGGGAGAAATAACATAATTTGGATCAAATATCCCTACATTACAGATGCAAATGAACATGAGTTCTCCAGACTGAGCAGGTGTTACTCTGGAAGTGAGATAGCTGTGCTGTGCTGACCCAGTGTGTGCAATTCAGGACTGTGAATAAACAGGTTCCAGAATGGAATCAATTCAGTAAGAGGATGTTGTTGCTGACTGAGCTGGAAAGTGCTGTGTATGCACTGCTGTCTAACATATGCACCAGAAAACCCTGCTGCAGAGCTGCTAGTTGCTACTGTAATTATTGTAGAGGCAGATGATGTTGCTACTAGAAGGTGAATGGAAGATCTTGATGTCATCAGCGTTAGTGTTATTCATGTCAAAGCATCAGTGCTTTAAAAATCTGTTCTTACAGAAGGAGCAAACCCAAACATTCACTTTTGTTTGGGAACACTAGGCATACTGAAAGCTCCATTATTTTTCACTCAAATACAATTGCAAATGTTGAATCGTTTCTTTAATGTACTTTTTTTGCAGTACTACAAGTTGCTTGGAGACAAGGTATTTTCTAACCACAAACAGTCTACAGATTATACTAGACAAATTGTAAATATGGCTGAAAAAAGTTAAAAAGCCACAAGCTTGTCTGACACAGCCTTTCACTTCACTGGAGAAATTACACTTGATTGAATCACAGCAAGACAAAGGGTCTTTACTATAAGTGAGATTCAGGGCCTACATTACTGATGTATTACATCTTTATTGTATCTTCATTAGTTCTGAAGTTACATCATCTGAACCTATCTGTTACATTCTGTGTTACTTGTATTCACTGGATCCTTTCTAAAAATGCATGGGCATTTTCAAGAATGAAATTACACTTGATTGAATCACAGCAAGACAAAGGGTCTTTACTATAAGTGAGATTCAGGGCCTACATTACTGATGTATTACATCTTTATTGTATCTTCATTAGTTCTGAAGTTACATCATCTGAACCTATCTGTTGCATTCTGTGTTACTTGTATTCACTGGATCCTTTCTAAAAGTGCATGGGCATTTTCAAGTATGACTATCTGTTAACAAAAAGGTACCCCTACAATAAAATTACTCCATGACAGCTCCTGGTGCAGTCAGAATTGCCTCATCTGAAAATCTCCGTAACAGCTTAGGCTTGAGTAGCATAAACCACAAAAGATGTCTCAGACACTTCACGTTTTACTTTCTGTCTGGCTGAGCTTCTTTTTGTAAGAAGCAATCTTGGAAAAAACATGCCCATTCTATTTCTTGTAGAGTGCAACCGGCAGACTTTCTAATATCTCAAAAGCAGTTCTTACTGCACATTATCAGTCAACAATACATCTTCACTTGTCAAGCATCTGACTGCCTCTAATAAAAGACATACTCAATCTATCCTTAAGTGAGTGCCAGCAGCACTGTGGCCATGGTAATACAGAGCTCAGCATCAGGTAACCACTGAGTGTATATATATATAATCAGGAGCCAGGATCAGTTTTGTGCTTTGTCCTGAGCCTTTCCCCACTGTGAGTACACTGCTAATAGTAACCAAGCCAGCTCAGGCTTGTTTCCTAGAGCTGCTCTAACACTTTTGACTGCAATATAGACATTCCTTTGAATTTTTGCACCGAGGATCACAACGATTAGTTACAATCTAAAGCTTATACATACAAAACATCTGAATTAAAGATAGCCTTTCATCTTTTTTTACAGCTTTGCCCCAGGTTGTTATATGATAAAACATCCTTACCATGTAAGAATAAATTCTATTGCTTGATTATGGTATGTCCTTAAATAGATAAAATGGAAATGTCAGGGATACTAGTAAAAGTTTTCCACTGAGTGGGAAATAGTGCTTCCAAAGGTGGACACCTCAATAGCTGTAGTTACTACAAGAAAACGCAATGTTTTTTGGAATGTGCTATATTACCACAAGCCTTTGCTATTTGGTTTCATTTATGCTATTTAATACCAATACATCTAACTCTATCACATTTTAAATGTGTCCATAGCTGTAACATTGAGGGCTGCCCAGTGGTATCTGACCCAAGCTCCAAGCTCCTGGGCTCCAAGCTGCAACTCACAGATGTGAGTCAAAGTCAGTCCAGAAGCAGTGTATGCACATTGATGTGATGCTACGCCTGAGCTGAGCAGGTCCATCTCTCAGCTTTCTCTAGATTTCTGCACCTCAACAGGACTCATTAGCTTGATCACTGTGCATATCTGCTGGGCTGAACCTGCTGTTGACAGCTGTCAGTATAGTTGTCTTGATTTTTAAGAAGGCTTGCCATGGTAATGTAATTCACACTATCCTCTGCAGGACTACAGGCTAAAAAAAAATTTGATTCAGCCCTTGAAACATATGATGACGAGCAGTATTTTATACAGTAATACTAGTGATTATGACACTAGTTTATGATACTAGAGAGCAACTATGGAAACACATTTTCTCCCCTTAGGAATTTACAATCTAAACAAAATATATTGCACAGAAGAGATCAACATACAAAACGTAGAATAATTTTCTTATTGTCAATGTCTTACTAACAGAAGGGATTTTGAACAGAGCAAGGAGTTAAAGGAGTTATTGTAAATTAAAATGAAAGGTGGCAAACAGAGTGATAGCTTGAGGAATTATTGTAAGAGTGGCTCAAAGAAGTGAGATTATAGGAGGAACCAGAAGCTGGACAGAGAACAGATGCATTGTAGAAAAGATGCAGGGCAAAGGACCATTCATGACTGGGAGCTCATAAAAATGGGAAAGCAGTGTAGCAACAGGAAATAGATTTTAATGTATTTATTTATCCATATTACTGAAGTTGTGGGCACTGACCAAGATCTTGTTGCACTAAGCTTCTGGCTTGATGCCTGGATATGTGACAGAGCTCCCCTAAGCTTTACTAATTTCGGTGAGAGCTATAGTAGTGTAACTGCTTTGAAAAGCAGGCTGCAGACTTTTGTTAGCTGAAGATCAAGGTTGAAACTCATGCATAGATTTGCATGAGTAAGTGCAGAAACAATATGCCCAACTGCTGGTATGAATCTTTTTCACACAGGAATTGCAGCTTCCGCTCACTGAAAACCTTTTCCTGTGCAACAAAATAGCCATTTATAAGAAGTAAGGAAAATATTACAGACTGTGATTTTCAAGAAAGACTCATTGAGCAGCAGAGGGCTAAATGGTAATAGGCGATATAAAAAAAACCGCATAGGCAATAGCATCCTTTCCATCCCTTCACCCCACTGCTTGACTTAAGAGATATTGATTAATAGTAGTAGAAAACCTAAAGATACAAATTCCATCATTATCTAAAGATAGTAATTCCATCTTCCTACAAAAGTAAATTCTTAACAATAACGTATTCATACAGTATTTCTCACTGCAGATGTTTAGTCTTTTAGGAGCTAGGCCACAGATACCTCAGTTCTTTAGATTTATTGAATATGCTTTGGAGATTAATCTGACCAGAGCAAACTGATGGATATAAGCAACTTAAAGGATTGCTTGATGTCTAGCTTCTCTCTCTTTCATTTCTTTACCTCCCCTTTAAATGTCTTGGTAATTGTTTCTGCGCCTGCAGCGTCCATAATGATAAAGGAGATAGAGTAGTACAAGGTCAAAAATGCACAAGAAGCCAACAGCAATGTCAAATCCAATAAAAATGTCTGTGAAGGGAAAACAATAAAGGAAAAGGGGGTTAATGAAATACATACATGTATATCATTTTATATACAGAGATAACAGTCTAGTTACAGATATGTGCAATGGAAATGTAGTTACATTTTGTTCACAGTTCTGGTAAGATAACATGGCCTGCATTTACTGATGTATGCAATGTAAGTATAAAAACGTATACTTCAGTTCTGGAAATGCATAGATAGCTTCCTGTGCATGGGTAAACCTTACTCCTAGGTTTTCACAGGGCAAGGGGGACCATGTGTTATTAGTTCAAAGGAGGAATTTCATCAGGGATAAGCTAAACACTGAATATATGCGTGAAGGGGGAAATAGCAAGACTATGGGAAAGTAGCACATATTGCTTTGTCCTTCACTTCCCTCCTGGAAAAAATATTCAGGCAGGAGGGGGTTGTCAGCTGTCAGCTCTTGGTAGTCTGAGGCAAATAGCTGCTATATCTGCATGGATCAGCCGTACTCTGTCTGTACAGTGGAGATTAAGGTATCCTCAATACATAGTACATGTGCCAGAAATACAGATGCATCAATCTTACTGTGCATGTGCAAGCTGTTTTTGCTTTGCATCTGCAGAAGTTCTGATGTGTGCAACACAAACAGGACTGCTTGCATAGCACCCACACCCCCCAAACTTCTGTTGAATATTTTCAACAGAGCTCTAGTTTTGGCCTTGGCCTTTAGGTAGCTCTCTTATGTGAGTATGCTAATAATAGCACTGCCTTCACACTGGTGGCCAAGTCTATTCTTCACATTTTCAGAGAAATTTAATTACTGTCAGCTTTCCCTGCCCATAGTAAAGCTGGTCCACACTTGTTAAAGGGAGATCTATCAATTGTGTGAAAGGTACAGTTTGGCGCCATTGATACAATTTCTGCCTCCGTGTCTGATTTCGAAAATACAGAACTTTTACACTACCTTTCATTTTGTCCTTCCTCCCACATTCTTTTGACCAATTTTTTGTAATCACAGGAGAAACTAGTTCAGCAAACTTCTCAAGTGGACAAGCAGAGGTGCATCCGGGCAGAGTGAGTAGGTAAGGATCCTTTGAAGAGTCGTTCCGATAATGCATTTCAATGCTATATCGCCTGATTGACAACATTGAAAAGATTTTTAAAAAAAGGTTCTTAAATAGAAGGTTCCTTATTTAGAGACAGAGTGTTGGAAATAGACTTTAACATCCTACTCTAGAACCTGCCCTTCATGCGTGGAGGCTTTGTGAAAGACATCTGCAGAGTCCACTTTGCCAAAGCTGGTGTTACATTACTGCACAGATCACCAGTCAGCTCAAAATGTCTTCTGAAGGCTCCTTGAATGGCAACACTGCCAGGCTCTTCTAAGCCAGCTGCTTTACCTTGGGATTTATAAGCTGTCTTGGAAATGTTGCTATCATTTGAAAAATCAGGAAAATTTATTTTACCACTTACTTCCAGCTGGTAAGGCCTGTTTTCTTCCTATCTTTCAAAGCACACAGATCAATGCACATTCAGGAAATGTAATTTTTCCTGCTTTTAATATAACTTTGTTCCTGTGGACTGCTCAGTGAAGTATCAGTTTAAAATGAATATGTATCTCCTCACAATATTTGAGAGGAAAACAATTTTGGGGAAGGGGGGAACCAAAGTCCAAACATTCCTTGTTCTTGCACAGATAAGAAGATACTTGCCCACTACTTTCTTGGTAGAGTTCAAAAAACTGGCAAGCAGCGTATGGTGGCAGTTTTCCATTGAAAATATTGAGAGCAATCTGGAGGGCCCCAACTGTGGTGTCATGCTATTGGAAAAAAAAAAATCCATCCTTGAAAGTCAGTTAACTACCACTTATGAAAAGTAATGAGACAAGAGTAGAGTGGGAGTGGAAATCAAGATAAAACAAAACCTGTGTAGATTTGACCATAAAAACATATTCAGTATATTCACCTTTGGGAAAAAAACATGTTAATAGATTACTACAGACAGCAGGGGGCATTTCCAAAGAGTTACTGCAGAATGCATCTTACATCATCAGGCAATATTTTGGAGAGAGAGGTACTGGGGGAAAGCAAGATGTGGTCTGAGATAAGTCTAGTTTTTTAGTGCATTTTGCTACTCCTTCCTTCAGCAGTGTTTCTGATCCCAAAATCAGATTAAGGCAGTATATAGTAGTATATCTGATGTCCTTCAAGTGAAGATACGAGTGGGGTTTTTTAGGTAGTATACCAGACAAACTTTTACATACAAAGACTATTCTCCTCACCTCCACATACACTCCAGAACTTTTAAAATTGCTCTTCCTCCTGGTTGGATTTCTACAATAAAATCTCAGTTTATCTTCCATTTTGGTGGAATCAGTTACCCCCCCACCCACCTGCAGGCTCTTCCTCTCCCTGTTTTCCCTCCTCTTGCAACATATCACGGAAGGAGGAGCTGAAGGAAGGAAGTTCAAACACCTTGATGCTTAAATTTTGCAAGTATCTTTATATACATACTTGCTAGGCTTATTTATTTTACAGTTTAACAGCTATGTTTTAATCATTATTCAGGTTCTGGAACTTTTTAGACTGATCAGTTTCAAAAATAAGAGTATACTTGGCCCCAAAGCATTAAAGTAGCAGTGAAAATTCTGGATGCACTTTGTCCTTTTCAAAATTAATATAGCAGGGCTAGAAAACACATAGAAAAGACAGCAAGAAAGATTTGAGGTATTGAAGCAGTTTCTGTATGAGGAAAGATTAAATAGGGTAGGACTCTGTCTTGGAAAAGGAAAGATGGAAGAGGTGTGACAGAAAATAGTAAATTCATGAGTGACCCAGAAAAAGTGAATAAAGAATGACTATTCCCTGTTTCTCACAATAGAAATGCTAGGAAGGAGCTAAATCATTATTAAGTTTCAAAAAAAATTAGGAAGTACTTTTTTTTCTTTTAACACACAAGTCATTGCCACAGTATGTTACAGAGGCCAAAAGTACAAATGCATTAAAAACGTGATTAGATAAATTGATGGAAGAAAGTCTGTCAAGAGCTATTAAACAGACACAGATTGTATCTCAGGAAGTCCCTAAGCCACAGATTGCTGGAAGGTTGTATCAGGGGAAGCAGCACTTTGTTCTGGCATTATTCTCACATTCTTCCCTGCCGTTGGCCATTGTTAGAGACAGGATAATGAATGAGCTAAGTGGATTTTGGCCTGACCTAAATGGCGCTCTTCATCCTCTAAAATAAATTAAAAAAAAAAAAAAAAAAATCCACAGCTGTATCATCCCTTTCTAAGCAGAAGAAGGGTTTGGAGCTGCAGCTAAAGTTCTGCTATGTGCTCGCATCTCTGGGTTAAGAGCACTTAAGGAAAGATGAAATTTATAGAAACTGCACCATTAAGTTGCAGATAAATGCATGATGAAATACATAGTTTTCTTTACCAAGCACAGTTTGAAGCTGAGGTGAGACCCATGATTCTGCTGTTAGTTTGTACTGACCAGTGTTCAGCTTGTTAGCTAAACTGAACTGTATCGTATTATTCTTTCCTTTAAGTTACAGGGAGACTCTGATAATTCTCTTCAAGGGTCTTTTACTGGTAAAATCATAGCAAGATTTATGAAAGATGAAAATACTTACTGCAGAGTAGACCTCCATTTTTCTCTGTTTCGAAGAATTGGCAGCTTGTTTAATACTATTTAAAATAATATTCACAAGGACACCTTAAAAAGATGGGAACAGGGAAGAGGAAGATGAAGATACAGCCTATGCACAGAAACAAAAAAGGCATAAGATTTTGAGTATCAAGTAGAAGACGTCTACTTGGGCCTCATACTCATTTTTTAGCTTACTGCAAGTTCATAACTAGAGAGAAGATATTACTGAAGTGAAATATATCATTCATCATCCAGGTCAAGTGAAGTGGCAGGATTTACAGGAAATCATCTTGAACTGTCCTGAGAACTGGGGCTAAGAACACTTTAGGTTTGTTATGCTGAGGCCTCCTCTCCATCATTTTCTGTCTGTTTGCAGTATTGCAATAATGACAGCTGTGCTAGCCTCTTCCTCTCTATACACTGAAGAAATATTTTTAAAAGTTTACTTCTGACAAGTCACACAGTATCAATTCTTCATTTTTCTAAAGTTCTTTTGTACTCCTTCTCCAGACCAGGGATATTCTAAACCCAATGGATAAGGGCAGCAGAAATTCCCTGTAGCACAGTTTATACCATTCTAGTGGAAGAGAGCATAGCTGCTGTGCCCGTGAACACTAGAAAAAAAAGTCGTGACCACATGATACGGCCAGCTACCAACTAGTGGGCTTTAATGCAGTTCTGAGCCTGTAATTACTATATGACTTGATACAGTGATGTATATGCCTAGATGATGAGGCTGCTAATAATTTTTTACCTACGTCTCGACTGCAGGGTAGGTTCATTACAAAGCCTAGCTCCATACGGTCCAGCCTGCAGATATTCACTCACTTGAATTTTTTGGTTGTCCTTGTTCGGGTTTGGGTTTCCTGCTCATGGACACGGTAAATGCCTGGCTTATGTCCTGAAGTAGTGTCATATGTGTATAGCCTGGGCACCTCAATTTTGGAGATAAGCAGTAGTCCCAGTTCTTGCAGTATAGGCATAACCTGAATCTCTCATCTTCTATTCTGATCAGACGGTTCTGGAGCAGCTTTATATCAGTCTTTCAGAGATCTACCTATGCGTTTCCAAGGTTTTGACACAATATATAACCAGTATATCAAAGGGAAAAACAAAGTTCAGGAAACAATTAAAATAAATGTTGGAGAAACAGAACTTAAATTTAATCTAACCTAATGTCAGACAAGTAATGATCATGTCCATGAAGGCTTGATTTCTTTTCCTTGGATTTCTATAATCTTTCTTAAAATCCTAATCTCTTAAAAACTATGGGACAACTAAAGACATTCATGTTTACAACCTGTTTCAATATCTCATCCATGCAAATCTCAGCGTTTGGCCCATATTTTCATGCTTAATATGCCATCCCATGTCCATAGCTACAAAACAAAGTTCTGTAACAATATTTTTGCATGAGTAAGGTGACAGGATGTTGCACGTTACCATAAGCATTGTCTCCTCCTTTCTGAGAACTATGCATTTTTTTATTACCTCCTTGTAGTCGTGATTTCTCTTCTGTTTTATAAAGCCCAAATAGCGAAAATAAGGATAATTCTGCCAGTTTTTCCATCTTGTCAATTACATCTTTGGTGGCCCATACAGGGAGAGTATAATTGTGAATATCCTAGTGATAAAGGAAAACAAAATAATGTGTTGTTTTTTTTTTTTTTTTTTTTCCATCATCCTGTTGCCCAGCCTCGCATTACTACATTTGGACTCTGAGGCAATTCTTTGCCCAGTGTGGTTTAACTCATCAGCATGCTCTGAGATACCCCTGAAATGTGGGAATGGGGATCAACCTGAAGTAGATGAATGAGAAGAGAGGAAACACCTGTGTGAAGGGGATCCCTTGTAGTTATAATGTGCCCTTGCTATAGTGATACATGGTTTTGCTTTTGCTAATGTGAAAGATTGCAGACATATGTCTTACTTTCTTCCCTTTAGGGTCTTCAGGTCATAACCTAGCTCTAACTTATCATGTCTTTTCCATACAGTTGTCCAGATACCAGCTGCATCACTGGCCATATGCAGACAAGTGTCACTCTCCAGTCATGTAAGAGTGACAGTGTCTTATAGTGTGTCAGTGTGGAGGGTATGTTCAACAGCCTTCATGTGCTGCTGATAATGACTAGGGCCAAATGGAATCACCCCAGGCTTGGGGCCAGTCTGATATTTTTCACTGGGAGCAATCATCTTCTCTTAATTTTCTAACTGATAGATCATAATCTTACCCCTCAATTTCAACATCTAAATATTTTGATGTTTCCCTGTTGAAAGGTTAAAGCAAATAGTTTCATTTTCCTGTTAAAAATCATAAGTATATCCTAGGCAGCATATTCAAATAATTCTATGACAGCATATTGGGAAGGAAAATGAGGGACTAAAGGGAATGGATTTCAGTACCAGTGCTTCAGGATAAAACATCAAATGGAAACAACAGTTTCCCAAAATGTAAACCATGAGTTTGGGTTATCTTTTACCAATGTATTAAATTAGAATTTTGATTCAAATTAAAAAGAAAAAAAAAAAAAAAAAGGCAAATCCAGAATCCAGGAGAGAAGGCAACTCATTCCTTTGAAACCACATTGCCACAGTTTAATTAAAACCCAAATTAGGAGTTATTTTCTTCCCCAATCCCTATTGCCTGTTATTACCTCACAGAGTAGAGTATCATATGTATTCCAGAGCTGAAAATTGTCCAGTATTTTAAGATGATTTAGTTCAAGTCCTGTGTTAACCGCCATTGTTTGTAAAAAATCCTGGGGGGGAGGGAGAAGTGAAGAGTATACCATAAATACTCAATACACATGGAACATACGTGCATACATATTCATTAGCATCCAACCTGGCAACACAGTAGTGTTTAATTTACATAGGTGAAACCCTTGTAGCTGAAGATTTTGATTGCAGATTTAATTTTGTAACCACTTCAAGGTACTAATTGCTATTTCAGACACTACTTTTTCTCAGCCCTGCTATGGATAAGTTTGGTGCTCTCCCTGCTGCACTCCCCTTCTCCTGACTACTCCAGGAGGCTACATCAGCCACCTCAAGAATTCAGATACAAGGAAGAGGACGGCACTAAGGGAAAAGAACATGACAAAAAAAAGAGAGGAAAATATAGAAAATTAAAGAGAGCTGAGGCAAATATTCAGGATGAAGCAAAAAGAAATTGAGGAGGAAACTAAGTTTTCCTTCTGACATTGAAGGGGAGATGAATACCTAAATAATAGTTCCACAACAATTCCCACAGGCATTTTTGCTATATGCTACCACAGGAGAATAAAGTGTCTCCTTAATATCCCTTATTCCCATGTTACTTGTTTCATACTAGCAGCGAAGAGAGAGGATAGCTATGAAGTCATAATTCACTTCCCTGGCCAGCAAGTGAGGCTGACCAGAGTAGCTGAGCTGGCAGAAAGTTAGGAATAAACCAAAAAAGGAAAAAATTTGGTTTAGTCCAAGCACTAAGCCTGAACTGACTTTGAGAGGATTTGTACAGGTGCAGTCAGGGTATGAGGAACACGAGACCCCTGCTTTATTTGTGCAGCAGTGCTATTACAAAGTGCATGGTAAAAATCAAGAGAGCAGCAATAACCACTATCTGGAACAATTATTACCCACAAGAACATGGCTGATGAGGCAGGTATACCACCCATGTACCTACACCCTGCTGAAACACTGGAATGGGAACTTTGAATCCCTGACTGTGAAGATTTGTGTCATGGCCAAAACAGAAGCATGTCTTGTGATGGATCCAAAATCTGTTTCAGAGAAATTTACATAAGTCAGACTGTTCGCCTGGCTGGGCTTGCTTTAGTTCTCTGTTGTAGCGTCAGCTTCAGAAAAATCACAGCAGGAAGGCATAAACCTTCCAAAGTTTCAGATTTGTCAGATTTTTTAGAATAGGTTTTGTGCTACCCTGTAAATCTGGAAATTGCTGCATCCAGAAATTTCTTCTCCCCTCAGATCATGGAATTTTAATTATATGCAGCTCTAAATAGTCTCAGAAAATTAATGTTAAATTCACATTTCAAAAGATTAATATAGAAAAGTATGAGAAATGCATAAGGATATCAAACATACTTTTTGATTGTATTGTCCTAAATTTGTGATTTTAAGAGAGTCCTCAGGATTATTTTTTTGTTTTGCATTTATATATTTTTGAATTTTAGCAAAAGGAAAAAATGCAATTCCATAACTTCTACATCTTAGTTACTTTCCTTCTTCTTAGATTTTTTTTTCTTTTTATTTTTTCTTACCATGTATGGTTGTATTCTATTTTGAAATTCACTCGATCTTTGTGTTTCATTTTGAAGTTCATCAAAACGGGGACAGTCAGGCAGAGGAAGATTCAGCCTCTGAAACAAGAGAAGTAAAACTTAGAATAGTTCTAGAATTAATCAACACACCTCTAGTTTGTCTATTGCGGAGATTGCTGATCTAGTATTTGTTAGATTCATGGCTGTGCTGCAGCTTCTCCATAACGGTTTGTTTGGGCACCTTGTTTATTAAACCAGTTAACATAAACAATGGACTGTGCTAACTTGATTTTTCAGTGGCTACCTGTGGCTATGATAGCTTGATTTCCCTCAGTTTAACTGATTTTGGCAAAAAGCAATTATACATGTCTGTCAGGGAATTGCTTTGAGAAATGGATCAGGGTCTATGATCAGGAATTAAAAAAAGATACCTCTTAATTTCTGAATCCCCCCAGATGCAACTTGACTCTACCTGGTACTGGAATCTGAATTGCTTCTGCATCTACACATCCTGCTCTCATCTCTTTGGAAGTAAGAAGCATATTATGGTAAGTATTTTAAGTACTACTTAATGGACAGAACATGAAACAAGAGTGACAAGTGAATTGCACTCCCGAGATATCAAAAATCTATGAGCATAATGGCTCTGTTCTTGTTTAGGGGTATGGTTCACTTTTAATAACTCCAAGTGTATGCATTACGAGGTCACCAGATAGTACATATTCGATCTGAACCATGTGTGAATCCATATGTGTCCACCAACCTCTCTGCTCTGGAAAATATGCTTTATGCCAGCTGCAGAAGGACAGATGGTACCTGGTCCAGCATAAAGTGTCAGTAAAAAGTTATAATGAGCAAAATAAGCTTATGCTGGTTTAGCACTTTATGTCACATCACTAGAGCATTTTTGACCCAGCACTAATGTTATCCATACAAATCCAAACAAATCACGTTAAGGAACTGACTTTATATACAGTGGAGAAATTAACTTCAATAGCTATGGCTTATGTATGTGCAAGAAGGTCTACTCTGTCTTGGAGTGAACATTAGCAGACCACACTGGAAGCGTGACTCTTTTGTCTTTGATTTATCAACATGAAGCTTGCAGCAGCCACCAACTGACACTAGCACACTTTCACTTGGACAGATTTCCAAGGGTGCATTTTTTCTGTCACAGCAGCACACTGGAGGTTGAAGGCTCAAAGCTGCAATATGAAAGTGGAGAACGTTGTTTACATACACAATAACAAATGTTTCTCTTGCTGTATGGCTTAATTATCCCTCTCTATGTGTTTTTAATTAAGCAACTCCCTTTGGCTTCATTAAGCAGTACTGTTGCCTGTCGGGTCTTGATAGATCTCAGTGGATGAAAAATAAACCGTGATCAGTATTTTTTACAGGACTGTACTTGGCCTCAATTTCCCACTTTGTGTTGCTTAGGGCTTGAAAATGCCCTCAAACATCTGCTAGGTTTAAGGAAAAAATGTATTTTCCATGTGGTTTGCATATTTAACAGGAATTTTGAGTTGCCACAGAGGTGTGTTTTGGTGAAATGTCAATACCCATTCCTGAAGCAGCTGCAGAAGTGATGAGGTACTAGGGATTCTTACAAATTAGCTTGCCTTCTCCAAACAGGTCAGTGCATTGCACTGTGATTCCCCTAAGAGCTTTGAGGTTTTATTTGGCCAGAGCTCTGACCACTTTGATGCTTTTTCCATCTTCTGGTGAAAGAGCTTCCCCTAGTGTCCCACATTTAAATAACAGTGACAGCATTCTTTTATGCTGAGGGATAGAGTTAAGCTTCAAGCTGAATCACATTGTGCCTAATCCAGTTTGTGGAAACCATTTCTCTCTGCACCTGCTTTCATATGTGGCCTCCCAGGATGGAGAAATACCAATGGGAGGCAGGCGTGGCCACCCCCTAGTAACAGAGTCCATCCTCTGATGTTGGTGACTGGACAGGCAGTTATTTAATTGGGTTTTTATATACATTTCTTTAAAGTCAACTTCTGTCCTGACTGGCAGAAGAAAATTAGCCTTTCTGTCATTATACTCAATAACTTTTTGTCCTTGTTCAACACACTGTTCCTTACATAGTCCTTGTCACAGGAGCCAGTGACATTAAATCTACATCTGAGTCAGCCAGAGAGAGCTACATATAGTAAAACTTATACAAGACCTATTATTCAGGTAGGTCTACTCTTATTATGAACCGCAAGGCAAGTGCTAGGGTTTCATTAAATGTTTGTATAGTACTGAGCATAAAAGGGCCCTTGTCTGTAATTAGATTGCCTAAGTGCTACTAGAACAGGAAAGTAATAATTGAGAGGTCATTACAGTGGCTACAGTGGTGAAAATTCCATTCCTTGAATAAACTATGCAACAAACTTGCGAAGGAGGGGAGGTCTGTCAAGCTGATTGGTGCTTAGAAAAACACTTGTCTTCTATAAAGGTTTAGGGCAACTTCCCTATAATACTGTCCAAAACTGTCCTTGCCAGGAGAAATGTTATAGCTGTATCTTGAAGAAAATGGTAGTGTGAATGACAATTCAGGTATTCTGCAACTATAGAAGGAAGATTTTCATGCAGCTATTACAGCTGACCTATGACATGCTTGTCAGCCAGTAGCTGCAGTTGATGTTTTCCATCAGATTGAACTCAAAAAGAATAGAAAATATTTTTAGGTTTTTTCCCCCTTATTTCTCTCTTTTGCTTCTAGGAAAGTTTAAGGCATTATAGCAATTGTCCAGCCAGTACTTACCCGGTCTGTTGATTTTTGAAAAATATGAACTGGAATGGGTTGCCAGAGAAGCTCAGGGTTCCAAATTTGGCTGCTAGTTGGTGGAAAGAGGCCAGAGAGGTATGACTGGGCACTCATAATGGTGCGATCATAATCTGTACTTTGGATGTAAAACTGAAGATAGAATGGCAAAGAGTTAAAAGTAAAATTGTAACAATAAAAACAATAAGGAATTTTTACCCAACTCATCAATCCTGGCTTCTCATTTTCAGTTTTATGTTTTTGCATAAGGTCAAAACAGTGAAACCATAACTCAGTTTTCTAGGGCCCTACTCATATGCATAAATGGAATTGCCAAAGCATCTTTCAGTTTGGAATCTAACCCTTGGACTGAACTAAGAAGAATAAGAAAGCATGATTTAAAAGGAGGAAGTTCTCCATCTTCTGAGATTCAGAGGAACATTGATATGTGTAGATGCGGCACTTAGGAACATGGTTAGTAGTGGACTTGTCAGTGTTGGGTTGGACTTGATGATCTTAAAGGTCTTTTCCTGCCTAAATGATTCTATGTTTCTGTGACCCATCTGCTATACCTCAGGAATCAAGGCACTTAAAACCACAAACCTCTCTTGGAAGCATGGCAAAGCTACTGTCTTTTACGCCTTCCCATCAGTACATCCCTCATGATATAGACCAAAATGATAGTGGTATCTTCCCCACAAAGAATCTGTACCATGTGACAAGCACATCCAAACAACTGTTAGACCTTTCATTTACGGGATGAAGTATGTGACCATGGCCCACCACACAGCTGGATATGCATTCACCTTTCAACAGGGTAGAACAATATCAGGTCATTATGTATAAATTCCCAATTCATTCAGTGCTGTGGAGCTGTTCAGTCCTGCAAAACTGGGCAGTGGAAAACCCAAACTAAATGTAGGAGCTGAAATCCAGACTTTAGTCTGTTTTTACCTTGATGTAAAAGCCTGACTTTCAGAAATGTTCTTCTATTACCTTATTTTTTCCATTAATTAAATTAATATGATGATGTGCTTTTATTTAGCCCAAGTCCATAGTTCTGCTATGCCAGAGAAATATCCTCCAGACAGTTCTGCTACATACCTCTTGCCGGTTGTATGTGCTGTTCAGAAAGTTGGAATATCTTTTCCTTGTGTACTGTCCAAGTTCAAATAGCTGCTTCATTCCAGTCTGCAAGGCAAGTATACAGATACTAGATTAAGGTGACTGGAGAAACTTAATGAAGAAGTTTCTTTCCTTTTTTTTTTTTTTTTTTTTTTTGGCTTCAGCAATCTGTTTTTAAGTGATGATCAACCATTTGTATAATGTAGTGTATATGTTGTAGGTGATCTAGAATTTTTAACAGAAAAACTCATTTATATCTATGAAAAAATGATACATTCTGAAATGCTGATTCCAACATCTGCTACAGGAAAGGCAATGCGCCTGATTCTGTACAAATACTGTTTCCACAGTGCTGTATCTCTGTAGATGCTCCTGGAGTTATTAATGGTTGACATGACTCTTTACAATGCATGTCAATTAGTGTGGTGGTGTGCTCCTCCCCACCCCGCTCCCCCGCCCCCAACCTGCCTGCTCAAGTGAAAACCACCAGCGGTGAGCGCAATGGGTGCGTCTGGGCATGATGGCTGCATCAGGCTTCAAGTGGATTCGGGGGAGACAGATAACAACACAGTAGCCAAGGGCTAATTTGAACAATGTGCCTACCTAATCACACTGCCAGTCAATGCCCAACTCAAGCCAAATTTGGAAGAAACTAGCACTTGTAGTCAGTATGTAAATATAAGGCAATTAGCTTACTCCATATATAGTGGACAGTCCAGGGCCCACTGAGCTCTCCTGCATGGCACTGAGGTGCACGCCAGGATCTCCCTTTGAGGAGGGATGAGAGAATCCTTATTGCATCAGGTACTTGTTAAGTGAATTGGGAATAAGTACACTGAAACTTTGAAATCGTAGCCAAGTGGTATAAAGGGTTGATTGTGCACATATAATCCTTTATACATAAACCATTGACCAAGTCTGGGACTAGGAGTGGATGCAGCCACACCTAGACTTCTCTCTGAGAAGGATTTTAGAAAACAAGGGGGTCCTCTCTGAACCTCATGACTCAACAGGAGGGTCTTGCTGACAGTTTTGTCTGACCCTGCCCCCTATGCAGTAAATACTAAGTGAACCTTGCCATCTATTCTTGTTAAGTCACTGTCGCATTTACTGTCAAACTTTGTTAGATCACTTTTGTGTCAATAAACATATTTCTACTTCTCTCTTACAAGTGAAGTGCGTCACTGAATCTGCGACAGTTAGTGACAACTGAGAAAGGATGATTGATAACCTACTATTTATTATTGTCATTGCTCTGCTATTTGATCAACCTGATAAATTTGTGGCTTGTATTTCATGCCATAAGTAACGTCCTTCTACCTTTGCCTTGGTGCACCTGCAGTTGTCTCAGATTGCAGTCTTTTCTGTTACTCACTTCCAAAGCTGTGAGCTGAACTTTTTAACTTTTAGCTCTCAGAGAATTACATTCTTATTCCTGTTGCTTAAAAGATAATAAAATAGCAAAAAGCTCTCAAAAAAATCTGTGCCAAAGCAGAAACTTTTTTTCTTCTTACAACATAAGCTACATACCCGGGGATAGCAGTGTGTTGTCTGCATGTTTGAATTTTACACATCTTTCAAGCCTCACTTCAAACACTAGATTCTGAACTGTGTCTGATTCATGCTTCTGCGTCATGATGAAGTATTATTAGAAAATGCATTAGTCTCTCTTTGCTCCAGAATTTCAAATACAGTTAAAGAGCTAAGGCTTGGTGTTTAAATGCCAGAGCAAGAAGTAGGTTCAGTGCATCCTAGTGAACCTCTGGACTGAAAGCAGCTTTATTAGAAGACACATTGTCCCCAGAAAAAGCATTCTCCTGCAAGACTTCCCTCATTTTGTGAGTAGGTGGTTGCTGGTGGACAGGCAACCTGGGTTGTGAGTAGGTGGTTACCTGGTGGACAAGTGTCAGTCATTTACCCTGTCACAGGGCCCAGAGCTTAGCGGTCATTAGAACTTCATCAATTTTAAGAATATAGACAATGTTTAAACTTGCCATTTATTTGAATTCAGACATGCTATCAGGAAGTTGTTGCTTTTAGGAAGGTAGTTACAAAGCTGTGATCAACAAGATTTCAATTTTACAGTAGTTGGATGAATAATGTTGCAAAAATGTTTATGAATTACAGGATATTGCTAATACCAACTATCAGTACTTGGGATTTGCTAATGTTTCTGAAACATACATAAAAAAATCTGCCCACTTCCTATTTTAGTAGCATATATAGGAGTTTCTAAGAACGTCAACATACCTTGGTAAGTTGTCCAAAACCCTGGGGCCATTCACTTTCTTTGTGTAGATCAGTTGGAAAGTTTACAATTGGTGTTCGGTCACCATGTCGGAAAACCTAACAATATTACCAACAAAAAAACCCGAGTTAATTATTGTTAACATTCCTTTCTTACCTAGATAGAAGTTAAGCATATATTATACTCCCAGTGTAATTTTTCAAATTAAAATATTGGAGAGTCTGCAGAAACCTAGTCAAGTAGGATTGGAGTACATTCTTTACAAACAAGAATAGGTATAATTATATAGGAATTTAGTGAGCATGAGCCTGATGATTCTTCCTCCTAGAACATAAAATTAATCAGCCAAGATGTTAATGATTAGATGACATCCATAGCTAGGCACATAGACAAGAAATCTGACAATTTTGGACACTCCGCACCTCTGAATATTAAATTGGTTACCAATGTTTTTATACGAGTACTTCATTACTTCGGCATAAATTTTGGTAACTGTTCTTTTCATAGCAGTATCTATAAAAGTAATTCCATGTACACATGGATCTTATGTTTGATTTCTCAATCATCCTAAAATATAAAGATGAAAAAGTATAAACATTTGCACTGTTAGCTTGCTTAATATTTATTAATACTTTAGCATACATGTATGGAAATCTTTTTGAAAGCCTGTAGGATTTTTTCTGTTGCATTCAGTGAGAGAAAAGAATTTGGTCACTTTCATATCCTGGACACTCCAGCATGGTGAATATTAGTGTGATATGTTCACTCATATGAGCTTTACATCAGAAACCTTAAATGAGCCTTTTTGCATTTTTATTCCAGCATACAACGAAAATGCCAACCCTAGATTAAATAGTTCTGAAAATCTCTGAATTACCTTCCCTAAGTATGTCATGTGTGGGCTTAGAAAAATTAAGTCCACAAAAGTTTCACATGAAAGGAAATGCTGGATTACAAATTCAAAGGGCTCCAGACAATCTTCCAGGATGCTGATCCAAACTGTTGCAAAAGTCGCCTTTGTTTGTATCAGTGTTCACATAACCAACCTCATTCCTGACTCTGCAGAATAAAATGACAATGTGGAAGCATCGTATATTTGTTCATAACATGACGTTTATTCTATAATACCTCAACGGTATACAGCTTGATTATAATTAATACTCTCCATTGCCTCATTAAGCCACATCATTCTTGCCCAAATATTAGAGAGGTTTGTACACGCTAGTTAGTTTGCCACTCCCACGGGGAGGAGTTTTGTGTTTATATTTTTCAAAGTAAACACAAGCAGTGTGGCTTAATGTTTTAATTACAACACACACCCTTTTCATCAGCATTCTGTACTAATGTGCACAAACCTGTGCTAGAGCAGGTTATTCAGAGATGGAAAAGGGTTTTAAAGGCAAATATAATTGGATTTCTCCTTCTGTTCATTTTCTACAATAGACAGCAAGGTTTGCTAGAGTAGATGTTACCATTAGAACCATGCAGAAAACTGCTTATTATTTTTTTGCTTTGCTAGTTTAATTTCACGGAAGATATGGCCAGCCTGAAATGAATATTTTTAAGCAAATCAAGGAGGTTTTTTCACCATCAACAAGTGGATCAACATGAAAATGCAGTTTTCTGAGTTCAAATACAGCAAAATAGCCCATAAAATCTTTCTTAAATATTTTATTTTTGCTCCTCTATGCATTTTTTAATTCTGTACAGGTCATTTCTTACTAATCTGGAATCGCAGTTGGTTCTTTCTAATTTCTTAGTGCACTTCTAATGAACAGGAGAACAGGTAAAGAGCTACATTGTCTGGTGATTGATTCAGTTGCATGCAAGAAAAATGAATGAAGAGAACTTTTGTGTCATTACTTATTTCCTTGATGTTTTGACATGCTGACATACATAGGTGTCAGGGAGGATTCATTAGCTTTTCTGGACAAGCTGATGCCTCTGTGAAGAATGAAGGTTAAATTCCCAATTACAGTGTAACTGCATACTTTCTTGTTAAATTATCCAGCTTCACAGAAAAGCATTTTTATGAGTAACTGACAGTTGCTCAAACTGACTGACATGATTATATGACTATTTTTTTAGGCAATAAGTAGCAATGGATCAACATTTGGCCAATAACTATGCCCTTTTTATTAGTGAAAAATTACTGAAAATGTGTTAGATTTTAAATACTGGTTTATGATGCTTGATACTTATCTGCAACATAACTCAGTCTGTATTTCAATGTCACAAGAATTAACCCCTAAAAACTTTCAATAAGCCAGACAGAGTAGTATTTTACCTGAAAAGAAGTTAGAAGACAAAGAGACCAAGATCAAAAGATATTCAATATGAAAATATATGTAGGAACAGGAGATGTAAAGAAAAATATTTTTTCCTCTTTGTAATCTTAAGAAATGGAAGTGGTGGAGAGTGTTCTCTTCTAAAAAAAATCACAGGTTCTTTAAGTCTACACAAAATAGAAATAAGTTCAGTTCCTTGTTTGTAATTCTGCATCTTCATTGCACAGTGACGTATAAATATGATAGTAACACTAAGTTGGAAGTAACAAGAAAGAAACAAGTACTAAGAGCAGAACCCTGTTTTTAGAAACTGAAGGACTAAGCTTCTTAGCAAACTGATTTTTGTGCTCAAACTTCCTTGTTGCTTGCCACTTCTGAAAATGACCTTGCTTCAATTGCAGTTGGAAATGAAACAGTGCCCTTATGAACAACCACTTAGCCTAAAAGGCTGACTTGTTCAGTCACAGGAGTCTTCTTTAAAAAAAAAAACCTTTCAGAAGAGCTTGTGTATTTGAAAATTTATCTTTTTCATTAGAACACCTGATACTGTTAGGGAAAGAAAATGTATCCCTACAAAGCTTACCTTGCTCATCCATGTGTATTTCTCAAGACTCATCATTTGGATTTTGTTAAAAAGGAATTGATCCTTCAAATTAATTTAAAAATATGTGTGCTGCAGCATTTATTCCTCCTGGCCTACAGATTACATTCCTGACCTTTCAGAAGACATAGAACATGGCAGATTGAGACTGAAGGGATGAGGAGGCATCATAAAAGATAGAAAGACACTAGAAATCAAGAAGGAAGGGAGGGAAAGGAGGCTGTACACAAAAGGAGCAAAGCACACCTGTTTGGTATATTCATTTAAGCACTTCTAGCTGAAATGCTTCACCTCAGCCAGTTCTCAAAAGCAATAGATGGATAGTTACCAAATACCTGCTCCTTCAACTCTAGTACAGTTTGAACCAAATTTGGTGTCTGGGTTCTCCCATTCGTTCTTTGTAAATTTGTGAGGGTGATCACTTCAGATCAAAATGGCCACATGACTCAGACTTTGGTCAGCATTTGCTTCCATTGTTGTCAGGTGAAAAATCACGTTGGAGAAAAACTGTTGCAGAGCAGAGAGTGAACTGCGAATATGGCATGTGTAGTATATATAACACCTTCATTCAGAAATACCATGAATTACAGTGAACTATCTGTCTCTGAGTAATAGTGAGCCTCTTACAGACATTTTTACTGACAGGCTCAACTTCAAACAAAAAGATTTTTTATTCTGAAGCCAGCAAGAGGAATAAAGAAACAAGAGAGAAATGGAACCAGTCATGCTGCCAGTTCAGGGAAACCATAGATACAGAAATACTGAGCATGTTTAGTCAAGGTTTCAAATGGCTTGGCTTGATTAGACAAATAGATAACATGTTCAATCCACACTTCCTATCCTGAGTTGCAAGAAGAAAGACATGATGAAATCACAGTACCTCAGAAACCACACCACTTTGTATATATGACAGGTAAAATGAGTGCCTGTGTGAGGCAGAAGTTACAGGTCAGAACTTCTTTTTACAGAGGCAATAAATCAGTATTTAATTTCTACTTGGTACCAATGGTCCTACGTATTTCCTATTTTCTTCTCTTATGTCTAGTTTAAATTCAGTGCACAAGAATTATGGTGAAGGCTAATGTTTACATGTGAGAAAGAAAATTAAAATAGCATTTTGACAAATTGTCTTGAATTAGAGATTTTCAGCCAAAAGGACTTGTGGCCAGTAATCAAAACACAAAGAATCAGCACAAAGGTAGAAATTGTGAGGAGAGAGCAAGACACCATCCCAGAGCATAGCATAATTCTTGAACTGAGCAATAGGGAACATTTGTCTGCTTTTTTTGCCCCTGCAGATATATTTTATATTGTGCAATTCAGCTAAAAAAATATTTTAAAAGTCATTATGACACATTTTCACAATGCAATAATACTCTCAGGTGAAAACATCGCAATTTACAGAGTATAGCTGGAAAATGGCTATTGAATTATCTCAGAAAGATGCCTTTTACACTTACCTTGACTGTAGCCATATCCTCATTATATCCCATTATAGCAGTGAAATGTTCTGGGGACAATTCTTATCCTATTTATTTATGCTAGCAATTCTGTTCCTATGAAAATTCAATCAGTGAGTTCAGAAGGCAGAATTCAATTGAACACACAGAAACCATGCCTTGAGAAAAGACGTGTATGTTGATAAGATTAAACCTATTGTAACTTTTTCAGCAGGTTGATCTGTCTGAAGAAAAGTATCAGGGATAAAAGGAAGTCAGTTTAAATTAAATTTACCTATTATTTTAATATTAAGTGTGATAAGCTACCTATAAATAAATAAAATGCTATCTTTTTTTTTTTTTTTTTTTTTAGTAGGTGGGGAAGGTGGCGGCATAGGTGTGGTAAGCAGCTAATTTTGGATAAGAGGCCTCTATCTCCATAATGGTGATCATTTCCTGTACCTCTTTCTGCAAAACCACTGCTTGTTAGAACACAGTAACAGCGGCAAGTCAATAAAAGTCTCCTTCCCTTCAAAGAGTTAATTCTCCAAGGCTTGCTGACTGCCTGATTTCATCTGCACGTCCACTTCTCCCTGGTATCATTGAAACAACATTTAAGTATATTGCCATACACGGAACGTTACTGGAATTAGCATCGAGTCCCTGCCATGTGAGGTGTCTGAGAGAGCAATAAGCCTCAGCAGGAGTAGGAACTGGTTTTTCCTGTGCATTCTGGTTTCTCTCCAAGTGGCACATTCACAGTGCAGCCAGTAGACAACTAAGTATGAAATATTTTATCTAGAGCTAGATGATATGTTTTGGACACAGTACTTCTGTCTGTTACTTGTATGTGCACATAATGTCTCAAATAGAGAAAGATGAAAGAAGAAGATATTACAATTCCTATTTATAAATGTGAATTTCAATCCCCACAACTTTGTATCAAAAATGTCCTTTAGACTAACAATTCTTTATCAGTATACCTCTTATTAAAAAAAAGAAATTAGAATGAAAAGGACCATGATACAACCTTCACAATCAAAACTATTTAATTGGATTAATCTCTCTTTTACCTGATGTATTGGTGAAAGTGACATTGAAGTAGTGTCTAGTTATTTTAAAATAAGAAATGTCCCAGCAAAAAAGCCACTACAATCCTTTTTCAACCTGACTGCAGTTAATGCAACTTGTATCTCAAATCTCCACATAAAAATGCCCTTTTCTTTTTCTCAGCATACTGCTATGTCAATTCAGTCATTCTGAAATGGAAAACAGTTTTGTTTTTGTGGTAACTTCTGTAACATCACAAGCTTTGGTTTCCAAGCACAGAGAAGGTAGGCCACAATCTCCAGCTCTCAGACTATGCATCAGTGTCAGCTAAATTAAGAAAGAACAGGTTGACTTAGACCTCCCATCTCTTAACTCCTGTGCCCTATGCATCTGCCACAAAGCTAAGTTGTTCAATTATCTTGAAATAATAACTATGGGTTAGGAGATGGAAATTCTATACCTAGAGACATTTTTATCTTCTTTGAGTAAAGTCTTTCAACTCAGTAAGCAAAGGGCAGCAGTCTAAAAAGAGGCAAAGCAGCTGCACACCTTGTTTGATTTGACAGCCATAAAAAATTCGCTGTATTTCCTGCAACAAAATAGAAAACAAATCTACTTACTACAACCACAAACTTCAGTTCCCTTTCAGCAGTAGTCTGTTGAAGCAGAATGAGGATAATATGAAAAGTAAAACACAGAATCCTAGATGGGTTGGGAAGCTGTAACACTCCCATCCTGGCAGAAGATGAAAAAAGGCTTCGTAGCTCCAACAGCTGCTGAGGCTGAACAGCCCAGACGTCAGGCTGTACTTTCAAAAGGGGTGGAACTGCTGCTGGTGAATTTCAAATCCAAGAGGAATGTTGTGTGACTACGCAACAAATTGCATTGCCCTTTGTTTTCAAATTACTGTTTACATTCTATTTAATCAAGTCATAATTCAGTTCCTTTTTCTCGGTGACATTTTTATCTTTTGGAGTGTAAGGATGAGGTTAAAATACAAAGATGTTGCTAAGAATTCCTAATGTTTTGACCTACCTGTTCTGTTTCCACTTCTCAGGGCTTGGAATTTTTCCAGACTACAGCATGGCCACAAGAATGAACTTGGAACCAAGAGCCAGGCAATCCTGTTTCTCTTCCCTGCTGCTCAGTTTGTCCTCTTTTCAGCTTCCCTCCCCTCCTTTTTTCTTTCCTCTTCTATATTGTTACTATGAAATCAGAATGATTATTTCAAACAATAATTTGTGTAGGTTAAAATTACCAGTCCTTCAGATAAAATAGTTGAATAAATCTTGCAACAAGTATGTTCTTTAAGCTCCTTGCTGGGCAGTTATTTGCTCTTTAATTTATGTGTTGCTTTTCTTTTCCCTTGGAGTATATCCGTACTTCCCCTTTTGTAACTGTTTATGTCAAGTTCTTCTTTGGCCTCAATTCTCAAAGAAATTTCCTGTGAACAAGCCCCAAAGCTCACATTTTTATTATTACTGATTAAGAACACTCTTTCTGACAGTAGGTCAGTGGCTTTGAGAAGATTGCTCAGCTTACCTCTGCTGACTTTGTCTCTATAAAATGTTATTTCTAGAATTGATGTCATAAGGATTTTCTGACTAAATGAATTACAGTTTGCAGAGACCTATAAATAGAGATGTCTAAATGTTAAAACTTAAGATCCTCAGTGTATTGTCTGAGTCATCCCACTCCTGTCATGCACAGACCAATCTCAGGGTCTTGTGTTAAGCTCTCTGGAACAGTATTCTCTACAACAGGTATTTTACCGTTTACCAGAAATTCTGCCTCTAGGGCCCTAATCCCCGGTTAACCACAAGTGCTCTCTTCTCGGAGTTGTGTGAATGACCTTATGTATCCATTTCATCTGGTGGATGGAAGTGAAAGGGAGGAGGATCATGATTCCCAGACTTCCTCATCTCTCTTGTTGCTCCATGCTCAGTTTTCAGCACTCACTTGAACTTCTTTCTTCCTCCACTGTTATGTCCCTACCCTCCTTGTCGGTCTCTCCTGGTGTGATTGTACCTATGCAGAAAGTATAAGAGAGTAATCTATATGTCATAAACATATAATACTTTGTCTTTCTGAAAAAAAAAAAAAAAAAGTAAGCTGATCATCTTCCTCTATTATTTAAGAGGACAAGTCATAAAAAATACTTTCTTTAAAATATTTTAATGTACCTCAACAATCAAGAATGGATGTCCTACTTTTTTAATCTATACAGTGTTTTATGTAGGTGGTTCCTAAGCTTTTTGCATCAAGGAATCTTTGTGGACTCAGAATTTTTTCTCATCCTTCCTAAGGCCCTACCATGAAATTCATAACTGATTAGTTTTTATACGATTTGCTGGTTTATTGTGTTTCTTCAATGAGTGACTATGACTAATGAAGTCTCATTATTATGGAACCCTTATTGTAACTTCACTTTAGACATTAATTCAAGTTTTTGTGATGCTGGATAACATCATTCAGGCATGTTTGAAAACATATAACAACTGCATTTGATATGAAATCTTTGCTACCATCTCTTAAAAAATGATATTTCAACCTGAGACCAAGCGTATGACAAATAGTTCTGCTTCCTGTGGCTTTACTCTTCCCTTTGACATGTATACTTTGATAGTGAGATTATTTTATGCCCAAAAGAATGGGCACCACAGCATCTTAAATAAATCTCCACACATTCCAAAATGGAAGAATATCCTTATTCATGTGCCATAGTGGTTAAGACAAGGTCCTGTAGGAATCCTGTAGGTAATCTGTAAGTACGTTGGTAGCATGTATTTAATTTGGAAATTTTCTTCCTTGTCTTGGGTTGTTTCCATTTCTACTGTGCCTTTAGCAACCACAAACTTGTCATATTCTGCAGCAATTAAATCCTTACCCTTTTTGGGAAAAGTTGCTTCAAAATAAAAAAAAATAATTCCTAAATCAACCTAGTTACAGTTGTCCAGGCATTATAATGCAAGTGGACCTAAATGATTTGAATCATGTTTATGTTAATTTGGCTCATTTACATATAATTTAATTAAGAAATTATGGCATTAAGTAGAATTAGCTTAAACACAATTGTCCATTTTAAGTGCACTTATCTATCTTGAAGGCCTGCGGAAGCATAGCTAGATTGGCTTTGAAGCGGACTGGTTGCAAAAGAACCCATGCTTTAATGTATGCAAGGGTTACCCTAGGTAACTGCTGCTGGTGCAGCACAGCCTGCCCGCTGAAAGGGTGCAAGTCACTGCAGTCAAGGCAGCTGGATATGAAAGTGCTGCTGGCACTCATGGACCAAGCTGCTCACGTGGGGAAACAGCTCAGGTTCTGCTGCTGACTGGATTTGCACATCAGCACTGAACCTAGTTTGGATTTATCTGCAATCTATTTTTTTTTTTTTTTTTTCTCTCAAGCTTTTTTGAGCTGAAAAAGGGAAAGAAAAGAAAAATTTTGGTTTCAGTAAGCAAAATGCCACACTTTCCAAGCACCATTTCAAAGCAATTATGGCAAAAGAAAAGACTGTCTTGCAGTCCTGTGTTGGGGTGATTTCACCCAGCTGTGAGGAGTGGGAAGCAACAAAGGAGGTCATTTGTGACATAGGAAAAATTTACTTACTTAGGCTGGTGACAGGACGTGAACCTGTATCTTGCACTACAGGAGAAAATTAAACAGTTTATGGTTTCGTACCCGCAAAAGACTATGGGACAGATTTTTCAAATTGAGTCAGCTAGTGCAGTTGTAGAAAAACTTAATTTAGAGTGTTTTATTATTTGTTCGTTGTCTTCTCCAATTTATATCCATACAACAAGATCCAGGATTGATGTGTCAGACCTCATGAACACTTCTGTTTATTTTCCTTGGAGTAAGCAGGTTATAAAGGAAGTCTTCCTTTCTATGTTTCTATAGTGATAGTCCTAAAAAAAAACCCCAACCTTATACAGAATATGTGTGATGGGGTTTCTGCTGGATAGGGATGAGTAGAATAAAATAGTTTAGAAATATCTTAATTTGGAAATTAAATTTTAAATTTAATTTTACTCAACAGAATCGAGAATGTTCAAGGTACATTCACTGGGGCATGTATCAGGGAAGATGTGGTGTGATGATGTGATAGAAAAGGGGGACCTTGTATTGGTGTTCTGTGAGCAGTGGCTTCAGCTAGGATGCACTTCCATAGCTGAACTGAAGTGCTGAGACCAGGGTCAGCCCCATGAACCCTCACAGCAGACAAATCTGTGGGACAGAAGAAGGGTCTTCGTGCAGTTCTGAAAATTTTTGAGAGATGGATTTGCGTGAGCAAGGAGGGGAGGAACTGGGAACTGGAGGCTAAAGAGAATCATGCAGGATGTCTCAGTGTTGTATAGCATTTTCTATGGGAGCCTTGTCCAGTCTAGAAACCAGCAGAAAATTTACCCTTGCCTTTGATGGGAGAAGAATAAGACCACCTTTACAGCTCTTGAGCTTCCACTTCGAAATATCTGGCAGACAAACCATTAAGAGCTATTCAAGCAACACAAGTTCAGAAAAACAAGAAATAGGATCAGGTTCAGAATAGAAGAGAGGATGTCTAGAAACTTGTTTTTGGCAGCCAAGGCTGCAATCTTGCTCAAAGTCTGATAATGATAAAGATAGAATCTTAAACTTTCCTCTTTAATTGCTTTCTTTTAGCATTTTTTAAAATTACTTCTTGTTAAAGGAGATGTGATGACCAGCTGTGTGGTTTTGAGTTGAATCATTTAAAAAGCTTGCACTAACTCTCTTATGAGGGCTGACAGATCTAGGAAGGCTTTCTGCTGGTGTCCATTACGGACGTTAAGGTAATATGGAAAAAACAAGCTGTTGCTTCTTTGCATTAAGAAGTAACTAGAACTGGTTATCTTATGCTTTTGGAAGACATTTTTACCCTTTTTGGGATGTTATGGTAAAAGGGGTTGCATTTTTTCACTAGAGGGAATAATATATTTTTATCTATGTGTTTGAATTTCTTTGCTGTGAAATCTAATGACAACTCTTCTTCCTGAACTGTATTTTCTATGCTGGCTTGGGAAGCATGGGAATTGTTTTTTGGACCCTGCTGAGAAGAGAATAGCTTTTACAGTGAGAATTCTGAAACTGAGATTCTTTCTAGAAGGGAGAACAATATTTGTTATTATTTTGATTATTTTGTAGATTATGGAGTAGCAGTTATCTGCTTATGCTGTACTTCTAAAAAGGAAAATACATTTCATAGTCTTAGCATCCATTTTAAAAGCCTTGTCCAAGGAAAGAAAGCTAGAATGTAAAAATTCTCTGCATCTCATCTATTAGTCTGGTTCTATTTGAAATGACCTCTGGGCAGCAAGGCTGTTGACAAGGGCCATACCCACAGTGAGAAAATGAAAACTAAAAAAGCCTAGTTCTTCAAGTGAAGAAGCATCCACTATTTTCAGAAGTTAGTTGCAGCTTATTGTCCTGATCCAGCTATTGTAATAAGAGCATTAAATGTTTTCGCAATGGCCATATTAGAAAATGTAACTATTGAAGGATTGCCCAGCATGTTCTACATGTTTTAATTAGCATGGAGCTCTGGATTTTTTTATTTTGTTTTTGCCAGTAGGATCTTTTTGTTGTTAATGTCAGGAACAGCATGGACTTAAAGACTTCCCTGAAACACAGACTTTATATGATCAGATCAGAGTATACAATCAAGGTAACATAACAAAAAGAGTGTGTTTGAAAAACTATTTGAAACCACAAATAATTTTTCTTACAAAATTAACACTTGGCCTTTCTGTCTTTTTGAAAAGAGATAGAATGACTCAAT